AGGAATAGGGAATTAGGACTGTAACTTGCTTTAGAACAATGAGTCGAGACCTCTTTCCTCACCACTACCCATTTTATGAAGAAAACAAAGACCCAGAAAAGGAGATTGCTAAATAACCACATAAATGCTTAGTGCAGGTGAGGTGTGGTGGTGCACATCTGAAATCCTGCTCTTCAGTGACTGAGGCGGGAGGTTAGTTCAAAGCCAACCTGGGCTACATAGCAAGTGGAAGTCCAGCCTGACCTACATAGCAAGGCACTGTGTCAAAAAAAAAACAATAAAAAGCTTAGTATAGAAATAGGGCACAAATCTATGTTGCCTAGGCAAGGATCACCCCCTACCTCTGCACTAGCTAGCTACCGAATTCCAGATGGTGTGAAGAGCAAAAGGAAGTGGCAGATTCCTAGATATCAACCAAATGATGGGTTCTTAAGGTAGACAAAGGCTCCTAGGAAAAACGAAGATGATTTGAGGACAAAGTACCCTTTTTTCTTTTTTTGCAGAACCTGGGATTGAACTCAGGCCCTTGCGCTTGCCTATTCTACAGAGCCATCTTCCCAGCCCCAAACTACCCATTCTGAGCAAGAGGAAGAACCAGCCAAGGTCCAAGGTCAGATACCACTCAATAATCCTAGACAGAGATGGGTTCCTGAAAACAACAACATGAAAAGGGGAGTACTTTGCCTACAACCATAAAACATCTCAGTAGGAGGCATTGGCATTTGAGCTCAAGCCTAGCCAGTTCTGAAGTCCAAATTCTTCTGCATTCAGCTCTCCACACTATCCCAACAGGCTCTTCACAGGCAATGCCACTAAGCTTACTCAACACAGCACAGATAGCCACGAAAATTACCACCCATCAAACCTGGATGGGTCACTTATCCTGCCTGTTAAAGATGCATGGATGGGTGGGAGGGAAGAGACACAGAAAGAAAGGAAGAAATCCAGTTCATCTTCAAAATATAGCTAGGGGCTGGGGAGATAGCTCAGTGGTCTAAGCACCTGCCGCACAAGGACCCAGGTTCGATCCCCAGTACCACATGCCATGCTGCCATGCTGGTCACTGAAACCAGGCATGGTGTCGCACAACTGTAATCCCAGCACTGGGGAGGCTGAGACAGGAGTATTACTGCAAGTCTGAGCTGTGTAGCAAGACCCTACACCAAATAAATACATAAAGTATTAAAAACAAAAAGACATCTACCATTCAATGTTACCTCCAGGGCCAGAGAGCTTTAGACTGTGTTGCCCAAAATTCAAAGCTAAACAGCACCTTACCAACCTTACCAGCCCATTACCTAAGTACCAAGAATACTGAGGTAAAAAAACACAGGCAGAATCTACTCTGACTCATACACCAAAGCCTGACAGGCCCAGAGACGGAACCCACTCTGTGGACAATGCCAAGCCCAGGCTCTTCCACCACTTCAGCATGCATGCAGGCCTTCTTCTCAAAGGTTTCTTTTCCAAAACTCAGGATTCCTGCAACCCATTTTGTTAAGAGCAGGCCATACCGGAGAAAACAGTCTCCCCAGGGGCCGGGAAGATGGCTCAGTGGAATAAGTGCTTCCCTGGCAAGCGCAAGACCCGAGTTTAATCCCTGGTTCCACCAAAAAAAGAAAAAAGAAAAGAAAAGACAGTTCCCCCAGCACCTAAACCCCAGAATGCCAGAAAGACTGCTAAAGAGAGTAAGGGTATATTTGCAGAACCAGATTTACCATCCAGAGTGCCTTTCAACAACTGGCTTCCAGGCTACAAACACTGTTTGTAAGCAGGTGGTGCGTGCCTGTAACCTCGGCACTCAGGAGGTGGAGGCAGAAGGACCCTTGCAAGTTTAAGGCCAGCCTGGGCTATGTAGTGAGTTTAAGGCCAGCCTGAATTATTTAGCAGATCCTGTCTCCTAAATAATTAAATAAATAAAATAAACCTTCATGACATTATGAGACCAAGATTTGGGTAGCAGGAACCATCTTCCTTGGGGCCAGGGAGATGGCTCAGTAGAGTAAGTGCTAGCCTGGCAAATACAAGGGTCTGAGTTCAATCCTCGGTTCCGCCAAAAAAAAAGGGGGGGGGACCATCTCCCTTCCTCTCCTTCCTGAAAGGTCCCAAGTGTGAGGCAGGGAGAGGAGGACCATCCTTTCTCTTTTTCTTCTCAAGTGGTCAGTCTCTCCACTGAAATCCAAAGGCTTCATGAGTCCACAGAGCTTTCCAAGTTCTTATGGAGACAAGTGTAAAAGACCATAGGATATAAAGAAAAGGCTTTTTGTGTTACCAGGCCCATAGTACTTTCTTCTCTTTCCAGGGACCAGGGCTATAGGGCTGCAGCTTCTTTTTTGAGGGTGACTTTATCCCAAACAAGAGAGAAAAAAAAACAACTCCTGTTTCTGACTCTGTGACTCCAGATAATTTACTCTGCCAAAAATTATGGATGGGCTTCCAAGGCTGCCATTCCCTGGCCTCTGTGAAATAGTTACCTGAGCCAAAGGGGAGAAGTGGGAAAATTTCTCAACAGAGATGTCTCACCCCTTTTCTGTCTTTAAGAAGAGAAATGCTTGCCAAAACTTTCAAGCCTAGATTATTTCTTTGACCCCTGGAAGCACAGCTGAACAAAGTCAGAAATCTGTCCCAGAGTCACAGATGAAGCCTTAAACTTCATGGCCCCAGGACCTGACCTTTCTTCAGAAAGTTGTAGGATCTTCTTGGCTCTGGAATAAGGGGGAATCAGGTTAAGGAGTCCTAACTTGGCCTGAAGAACACCCAGGTCCTTCTGTCCAGCCATGCTGAAGATGACCTCATGTCCTTTCCCAAGTAAGAAAGTTATCACCTGTTGTGGTAGAAGAGCTTGATGCCCAAGAGGGGTGCTCAGGCTTCAATTCCTAATGGAAAAGATCTCTTGTCCCTAAGGAAAATGGCTCAGGAGTCTGGGAAGAGGCCTACTCTTTTCCTCAGAATCCCATCCCATGTTCCCCCCAGAGTGGGAATCTGGCCAAATCCCAAAAGCAGGAAACTTTATGTTCCTAAAAGCCCCCATGACCAAGGTATATGTATACTGTCCAAACTGAGATGACAGTACTTCCAGAGCAGATTCAGGTCTCAGATCTTAAGATAGGGATCCAACCTTGACACACCCAAGGTAAAATGCAAATGTTCATTAGGGACCCTATATCCATGTCACAAGGGAAGAATGTCAGGGCTCAGTTTTGGTAGCGAGTTCCATGAGGAAGTTCACAGATGCAGTCACATATACAGAGGTATATATGGTTCTCTTGTAGATAAGGGAAACCTCAACTGTCCTTAGCAGAGTGGGTCTCAACACTTAAAAGGTAGGGTTGGACCACAAGGAAGCCCCAGAACTGCCCATGTCCCAAGAAGTGGTTTCCCCAAGGCAGGATATGTTCCTGATGAAGGACAAGAAGAGGTCCTCAGGGCCCCATTACAGAGGTAAAAAAATGACATATTAATCTCCAAGGTACATTTTAGTTCTTATAACTGAGGTTTAGGGGTCTCACATTATTGTAGGGGAAGAGGGTCTCAGCCCCCCAAGAACATTCAAGATACCAGTCCCTCAGGAGAAAGGTTTCTTGGCTGGCAAGATAGCTCAGCAGACTAAGTGCCTGCTTAGGCAAGTGCAGGGCCTCAGGTTCAATCCCTGGCACCACATGCCCCTACCCAGGGGTGCACTGAGCTGGCGACCAAGTCCAGGCATGGTGGCGCACACCTGTAATCCCTGTGCTAGGGAGGCTGAAAACAGGAGGATCACTACAAGTCCAAGCTTCGTAGTGAGACCCTGCACAAAATACAAAAAAAAAAAAAGAGACCGGTTTCCTAAAGAATTCATCTTGCCTACAACCTCTGCAATGAGGTGACAAGATCCCAAAGAGGCCTCAGACCCAGTATCTAAAAGCCCCAGTCTGGGCCCGGAGAGATAGCTCAGTAGAATAAACACTCGCCTAGCAAGCACAGAGTCCTGAGTGCAATCGCCGGTACCACAAATAAATAAAATAAATACATAAATGCAAAGCCCCAGTCCATAACCCTGACCCTCTTAGGCTCCAGTATACAAAGATTTAGGCTCATTCTCTGAGAAAGGAAAAAAGGCTCAAGATCTTGGTGGGAATGGAAGAGTCAGGAGCCCATCATTTAGCAGTTTAAAATCCCGGAGAAAGGTTCAGACCTTTGCCTTCAAGGAGGGAGCTCTAAGGCTATAAGAAATATAGATCCTCGTCATGCAGAAAGAGGAATATCAAGTATCCAAGTAATCTCTAGTCCCTGAGCACTGGCTTTGGCACTTGTCCCCAAGGGGGAGATAATCTTATCTCCCCAACAGCTTATAAACCCGGAGGGAAGCTCAGGAAACTTCTTTCTAAAGCATGTGTGAGAAACCCTCAATTCTAAGAGGTAGTGTCAGGCCCCTGCAGGCAGGCTGAGGAACTCTGAAAGCTAAGGCTCCACTGTTGAGTGGTACTGTCATCCGGCAAAGGACAGGAGGCTCACTCTAAATGCAGAATGTCTTTGACTCCTGGAAGGGTTTGTGTTCCTTGGGGATACTCAGGGCCCATCGCTGAGGTCACCACCGTGAGTTCCCTGGAAAGGAAATCTTACGACTCTTATCACAGCGAAAAAGAACTCAAGCCACTGAAAACAGACCTAAATCCCTTGGAAAGAGACCTGAGACTCATCAGACTTCCCTTTCAGAAAGGGCTCCACCCTGCCTGTGACACCATGGGAATTCCAAAATCTTGTGAGATCTCAAGGCCTGGAAGACAACTATGAGCCCCAAAGACGCCTCCAACCCCATCTTTAAGCCCCCCTTTATCTAGAACCTCTAAACGTTAAGTCTTGCACGAAAGAAAAAAGTGTCTAATGTCTCTCCCAGCAGAAAATGAGCCCCCCCGAACAGGGCTTGTTGCACTTGCAAACAGCATTTGTAGAGTCCCTCCTCACCCTGAAGGGATTCCCCAATTGCCACACTTGCAAAATCCTCATTTTCCTGTCCTTACCTGCTCGACGGTTGCAGGATCCATGGCCTCGATGCGGGCCGCAGCTGCTTCATATTCATCTTCACTGTTGTAGCCTGCACCGACCTCCTCACGCTCCGGGCTGCCCCCGCCTACTGCACCAACCCCAGGAGTTTGGCGCCGCCGCTTACTATGCCCAGGACCTGAGCAGCAGCCGCCCACACCCACGGCACCGCCCACGCCCACCACCACACCCGCCGCGCCCACCCCCGCCGCAGCTCCACCTAGCGCGTCACCAGGACCGCCGCCGGGACCACCAGGGCCCCCGCAAGGAGGTGGAGAGGCCTGCTGTGACCGAGGGCCCGCTACAGCGCCAGGTGGCACAGCCAGCGCCCAGCGGTGAAGAGCACCCGGCGGCCCCGGTAGCGGGCCCTGAGGTGGTGGTGAAGCCCTGGGACGGGCCCCTACGACGCCCGAGTCACGATCACGATCTCCGCCGCCCACGCCCGGGCCGCCGCCGCCCACGCCCACACCCCCGCCGCGCCGCGGCGCTGGGGGCAGCGGCCCGGGCGGCGGTGGCTCGTTGGCAGGGTCGGCATCGGGAGGCGGTGGCTTCTTCTTGGGGAGAATAGTCATGGCGGCACTGCCGAGTGCCCCCCAGCAAACCCGTCGCTAGGCACGCCGGGAGAGAACCCGGATTGGGGGGGGGGCTTTAGTAGTGCGCGAAGCACGACGGGAAGTGCAAGACCCGGATAAAGAGATCGCAGCACCGGTTCCAGAACTCTCGGCGGTACGCAGGTCACACCCGGAGGAGGAGCCAGATGTTAAGTCCAATACGAGGGCACCGCTGCAAGTTTGTCTTAGTCTTCTCTGCAAGTTCAGCAAGTTTAATGGTATCCCATTGCGGCCTTCTGCTTCAAAGGAAACAGAACCAAAACAAGCACCTCTTCGCTCCGCCCCCTCGCAGGTTCTTGAACTACCGGGTGGGGACCCAAGGCTCTGCGCAAGCGCCCCAGGACAGCCCCGCCCCTCGCTCGGAAGTACGTGGGCAAAATCGCCGCCGCCACAACAATTGCGAAAAACAACCAATCGAAGAAATTGTGTGAGTTTCCGATGACGCCCACAGGCCAATCAGAGGCCAGCGCTTGCGCTTACGTGCCCTCGGTCTCAAATATCACAGTCGGCAGTCAAGTTCCCAGCCTTTCTTCTCTGCCTCTTTCTGTTCTTCACTTCTCTGCCTGAAGTCTAGGCTCCCAAGCGTGGGCACAGCGAAAACACAGTGTGGCCTGTTCTGCGCACGATTAGGACGCTTTTCCTCCGAGCTTCCAACTTGAACAGTCAACCGGAATAACTGGAAAATAGCAACACTCCCAAAGCATTGCATTCACCTTTAACGTCAGTTCCGGTCCCACCCACTAGCAAATATCCTTCCGTTGGAGAGGCGGCACTGCTTCACCCTGGCAACTAGCTGGGTTCTGTGATGGTTGGTTAAAAGATGCCGTCAGTCAAATGAGACAGGCCAATCTGGGGACAGAAGCTTACCAAGGGAAAAGTGGGAGTTTGGGAAACCAGAAACGCCTTCTTGGCGCCTCTGCGTTCTCGCCCTCGAGTTGACCTCCCGCTCCTGTGGCTACGGCGCAGGCGCAACACGGCCTTTAAATTTTTTTTTTCTAAAGCAGAGTTTGCTTACATGGAGCGATTGTTTATTGTATCAGCATCTTGCAATGGGTTTGGCAAGATCCCAGCTGTTGAACAGCTGGAGCATTCCTAACTAATCCTAGTTTTGCTTTTCCTGTCTTGAGTAATCTTTAGCAAGTCATTTAATACCTGCTAAAGATCACGTTTCTGCTACTCTGTAAAATAGCAATAATTCAAATTTGAAGATCAGGGATTAATAGTTATAAATGGCTTGGTATGGTGCATGGCATAGGAAGTGTTCAATAAATTAGCATAGTGATACAGTGGAAGGATCCTCAGTTTAAGGAGTTGGGAAAATCTCATTTCTAGGCACAGATGAACCCTTATTAACTTGTACAAATAGTTATGTCTTTTTGAGACAGGGTTTCGCTATGCAGTTGAAGCTGGCCTTTAGCGCACTTTTTAGCCCAGTTTGGTCTCAAATTGGCAATGATATTCCTCGTGAGTGCTGGGATTACAGGTGTGTACCACCACTCCCAGCAGTATCTCTTTTGAGATTACTGAGGTGTAAAAGGGTTCATGTCTGCTCATACTATCTCAGGGAATGGTTATAGGGTTCCGATGAGCATGTAAACAAAGCATTGTGAGAGGAGAGGTGGAGGCTTCCTGCCATTTTTAGGGCATACCCCAGAATGACTGAAAAAGGCCATGGGAAAGTATTTGAATGCTGCCTAATGATCTTCCTTCCGGTGCTGAGCCTAAGTAAAGTTCTTTCCTGAAAAGCACCAGTAATAAAGGGATCCTACTGGTGTTTTCCTTATTGGACACCTGGCCAGAACTACTCATCCAAAATTGAATTCCATGGCAATGGAATACCCGTCTCTGACAAAACTAAACAAAAAAAGGGGATACAGATGGAGGACCATGGGGCTGGTGAGATGGCTCAGTGGTCTACAGCACCTACTTAGAACAAGCTAAGCTAAGCAAAGCACAGGGACCGCAGTTCAATCCTCCAGCACATGTCAGCCAGCCCCGCCCCCTGGTGGGCTGAGCTGGCCACACACACAAAATAAATGAATAAATAATAAATTAATTAATTAAATAAAATAAAACAAATGGAGGACCATTTTGTATCTGTATATGCAAAATAATTAGGATAGATGTATAGCTACTTTCTCTTAATTCAACGAGAGGAAAGAATAGTGTTTGGACAGGATATCATGTCTGCATCTTATACTGTGAATAACCACTACAAAGACAACAATATGCAGTGTATTAATTATTGAAACTGTCCTACTAATTGGTTTTGAAACTGTCTCATTGCTATTTGTTTCTCAATAAATTAATTTAAAAAAAGAAAAAAGAAACACAACTCATAAAAAAATTACAATAAAAAAAGAATTGAACTCCTAGGGGCCAGGGAGATGGCTCAGTAGAATAAGGGCTTGCCTGGGAAGTGCAAGGGCCTGAGTTCAATCCCTGGTTACACCAAAAAAAAAAAAAAAAAAAAAAACCTGATGATGTGTGGCAAACCTTCACCCTGTTCTTACTATCTTATGTGCCTGACACTGTGCACTAACACGTTTAAAGATCTTTTTTTTTTTTTGACAGGGTCTTATTGTGCCCTTCAGCTGGCTTCAAACTTGCTATGTAGCCCAGCCTGGCTTCAAACTCACAAGGATCCTCTTGCCTCAGCTTCCTAAGGCTGGGATTGCAGGTGTGCACCACCATGCCCAAGTTTGATGTGCCCATTGACAATGAACAGCACCCCCAGAAACCTGGGAAGCAGCCTTGACTGCTCTTTCCTCCAACTCCTACAAGCTTGTCCCAAATCCTGCCCATCTACCTCTTAAATACCCCCCCATGTGGTAACGCACACCTGTAATCCCAGCATTTGGGAGGCTAAGGCAGGAGAATTGTGAATTCGAGGCAGCCTGAACTGCATAGTAAAACCTTGTCTCAAAAAGACCAAAATAAATAAATAGCTCTCATTCCTCCCCCCACACCCACACTTGGGACTAAAGCCCTTTTTGCTTGTGAGACAGGATTGTGTTAAATTGCCCAGATGAGACTCAAACATCCACTCCTCATCCCTCAGCTTCCTGCATGTCAGGATTACAGGCATGTGCCATGGACCCCAGTCTCAAATCTTTTTTTTTTTTATTTATTTGAGAGAGAGAGAGAGAGAGAGAGAGAGAGAGAGAGAGTGGTGTGTGTGTGTGTGGCCAGCTCAGCCCACCAGGGGGCGGGGCTGGCTGGCATGTGGTGCTGGGGGATTGAACCGCGGTCCCTGATGCTTTAGGTAAGCTTGTTCTAAGTAGGTGCTTTAGACCACTGTGCCGTCTCTCCAGCCCTTTTTTTTTTTTTTCGTGGTACCGGGGATTGAACTCAGGACCCTGTACTTGCCAGGCAAGCGCTTATTCTACTGAGCTATCTCCTCTGGCCCCTCAAATCTTGTAACTTCCCAATTCTACTGCCATCACTCTCATCCAAGCCACCATTCTGTAGTGACAGCATCTCAAAAGCCTCTTCAGTGCTCTTCATCCACGACTCTGTATTCTACTCTATGCAGCCAGAATGACCTTTCTGAAGTAACTTCATCATGACTTTCTGTTTCTAATCTTCCGAGGTCCATTATTCTTAGATGAATTCCCAAATCTGCCTCACAAGTGCAAAGGTCTTTGTGATCTGGCTGTCTCTTTTCCTTTCTTCCTCTCCTCACATCCTCACTCCCCTCCCCAGCCTGACTGAACTACTTCCAGTTCCCAAAGGCTCTGAGCCTGCTCTCTAACCTCCGGGTCAGTATACATGTTGTTCCCTCTGCCTGAATTCTCACATTTTCAGCCTTTTGCCTATTCACTGGCTAACTCCAGCTCCTTCCTCATGTGTTGGCCAGATTACGTTCTTTGCCATCTACATGGTCCTATAATGCATTGATCTTAGTTCTACCACACTATGTTGTAATTGCTTAATTGTCTGCCTTTTATGCTTGACTCTATGTCAGAGACAAGGTCGATGATGGGCACTTCATAAATATTTGATGAATAAATCAATTGTTGCCTTCATCTCACAGATCAGCAACTCGATGCAAGAGAAGATAAGTGATTCTTTCACCACAGATTGTAACAGGTCAACCTGAATCCAAAGTCTTTCTAAAGTGTTCTGTACAGGGTTCAGTCACAAACAAGCCAAGTCTAGCCAGTAGCCCAGAAAAGAGGATGTAGAGATGTCCAGAAGGAAGGGGAATTTACCAAACTGAGAGATGCTTTTAATGGGGGTTAAATCTAGAGTTGTTTGCTATCCAAAAGCCTCATCTTAAGTACTAACTACATAGGCAGGCATGGTGGCATGTGCCTGTAGTTCTTCTCTTGGGAGGCTGGAGCAGGAGGATCCCTTGAGCCCAGGAGTTTAGACCAGCCTGGGCAACACTGAGTGATCCCATCATAAAAATCAAACAAGGAGGCCTGCCCATTAGCTCAGGTGTTTAAGTGCCAGCTGAAACAAAGCAGTCAGGCTCAGAATGCTGTGGTTGCATCCCCTCATCCTCTAGCCAAACCAGACCTGCCCTGAAGGCAACCTGAGTGCCGCCCCCCCCAAAAAAAAAGCCTTCTTCCATTTGGGTGGGGGAAATGGCTCTGTGGAATAAGCGCTTCCCTGGCAAGCTCAAGGGCCCGAGTTCAATCCCTGGTTCTGAAAAAAAAAAATCAAACAAACTAAAACTTCTGCTTCAAGTTTTGGTTTCCCTATCTGTAAATGAAATAGCTGGTGTAGATGTTGTCCAGTGGCAATGTTTTAAGGGTCCCTGACCTGTCTTGCTAGCTATACATTCAAGCTCTCTCATTTCTTCTAGATCCTCATCTTCCAGAATATATCACCAGCCATCCAGCTCCCCACACTTGCCTCTCTGTACCTCCTCAAAATATGACTGGTCCTTTGTCCACCCTAGCTCTACCATAGTTGAAATCAAAGTGTTCTGAAACCCTCAGCCCAACCCAAGCTCCAAGCCCACAGAGTCAGGAGGTGTTCAGTCCTCATCTCTCCTCTCAGGTTTTATTGACTGATGAAAACTACATCTTTGTCAGCTGCCAGCTTCACAGGGACAGTACTGGGGACAGGGAGCATGAGATGCCAGATTTCAGCCTGCGAGCAGAGTTCTGGAAGGTGACCAAAGAGGGAGTAGAGGAGATTATGTGAAAAGGAGCTGCAGGGGAGAAGGTGCTCAAGAAGTTGCATCTGTCTCTTGAACCTCCCAGAGTTCAGGAACAACCCAGGCTTCGGCCGCTGATGCTTCTAGACTGACTTCTGCCCAAGAACGTGAAATTGGCCCGTGATCTCCAAACTCAGCCCAGCTCCAGGCTCTTATCTTAACCAGTCCAGACTCAAGTCCAGCCCAGAAAGGAAGCAAACCAGAGGAGAAGAGAGAAGTACTTAGAGATGGCCCGTCTGAGCAGGGCAGATTAAATGCTGCAGCAAACTGGTCAGAGGCTTTGTATATTATCACAGCAGTAGCTGCTATTGCTACAATTTGCTGGGGGACCAGCAGAAGACAGCATGGTAGGGACCCATTTCCAGCAGCCAGGGAAGAGGGTAGTGGTGTTTGTGCTATCTGTGTGTTGGGAGAGGCAGCCTGACCCCTTGGTCAAGACCTGAGGGTGGCAGGTCACTGCTGAGCCCACAGCCCATGAAGCCCATGGTTGCATTTCAAGCTTTGGAATCTAGGAATTGCTGGGCCTGGGGGGGGGAACCTCTCCTAGAGGCCAGATCAGAGGTGAGGGTTCCCTTCTCTAAACCCCCAATCTCCCATAACCCTACCAGAGAGAAGAGGGCATCTCAACTCTCATCAGCCAGAACTCAGATGCCAGCAGGAGCTTTACCTACTTCTGAGGGCCTGGGGGAAAGAGCATGCAGGAGGCCAGCCAGGGGAGAGGGGCCAGTCCCAAGGTGCTGGGGCAAGGAAGCCAGGGTCTGTGGAAGCCCAGTGCTTCAGCTCCCACCAGGACTCTTGTTTAGAGGGCAGTTTCCAACCCCCTGACTACTTTTCCCCCAAGTATATCATTTCATAAAACTCCATTGCATAGTTCTTAGCAGAGAACAGAGGAGTCTCCAGGCCTGCCCTCTCTGCCTCCTCAAAATATGGCTTTGGAAAGGAGTACCCAAGAATGAGGAGGGCCCTCTGAATGGGGAGGCCTGCCCCTCACAGGGAAGAGATCTTGACAGTCTCAGGGAGGAGGCAGGGGGTGCCCAGGCTGGAGTTCCTGAGGGCGCTGCTAGCCCTGCCACCATTGCTGCCACCACCACCAGGGGAAGATGGTTGACTCTCATCTGGTGTGTTGGCAGGAGGGGTGGGGATACTGATAATGGCGGCCACGAAGTCCCGGCTGTCACAATTCAGGTCAAGGCTGTCATGGGGCTTGGCATTGAGGCTTGAGCGGCTGTGGACAGGGATAGGAAAGATGGAAGACTCTTAAAAGATCGTCTTGTTACTTCTCATAGCAATCCTGGCCTTTATTTAGTACCTACTGGGTCCGCAGAAGTGCGCTAAGTGTTTCCCTGAATCTTCAACGGTGGTAGAGAGTAAGGGCTCTGGAGTCAACTAGTCCTGGGTTCAAATCCTAGTCCTACTTTTACCACATGCAGCCTCTCATATCTGCAGCACAAGAATAGCAATATTCCCTACCTCATAGAGTTGTGGTTATTAAATGAGATAATAAGTAATATAAAGAGCTTGAAGCAGTACCTGAGACATAATGAGTGTACACACACACACACACACACACACACACACACATCTTTTGGGGTGGTTTGTTTGTTTTGTTTTTGGTGCTGGGGATTGAACCCAGGGCCTCCTAAATGTTAAGTGCATGCTGCATGACTGAGCCACACCCTCAGCTCCCACAGGAGTTTCTTCCTACTGCTACCTCTACTAGTGCCAAAGTCCTCTGAGTAGTCTATACTAGACTCCATGAAGCCATGTCCCTACTCCTTTCTGACTATCCAGCCTAGTGCTCTGGCCCTTGGCCACTCCACTGCACCCACCTCCACAGTTCTTACAGAGAGCAGTCTCACAGCATTCACACAAGCTCTTCACTCTGTATAGAAAACTGTTTCTGCAGTGATCTGCGTCGCTCACTCCCTTCCTCTTTCAGGTTTCAGCTCAGATCTCATTAAAGCCTTTCTTGACCACACCATTCAAAGTGCATCAGAGCGGGGCGTGGTGGCGCACACCTGCACTCCCAGAACTCGGGGAGGCTAAGCCAGACGATCACAAATTCAAGCTTAGGGCAATTTAGTGACTCGGATGGACCCTATCTCAAAATAAAAAATAAAAAAGGGCTGGGGAATGTAGCTCTCCATACCAAAAGATAAAAATTAAATTTCAGGGCTGGGAATATAACTCAGCAACATGGCGCCTGCCTTACAAGCATCAGGTCCTCAGTTTGATTCCCAGTTCCAAAACAAAAACAAAAACCCAACCTTAATCCTGGCTCTGCACTCTCTGGCCATCATCTTCAAATTATTTTTCTCTTTAGTGCTTATACATGTTTGACATAAGCCAGGTATGGTGGTACATGCCTATAAAGACAGCATTCTGGGAGGCTGAGGTGGGACAGTTGCAATTTTTTTGGAAGTAGGAAGCATTTATTGAAAGAAAGTTTCTGTCTGAGAGGGACAGAAGTGGGCCTGGAAAGTGGGTTGCCTACCAACCCTACTTTTCAACAGTGTTTTATTTTTTATTTTTAAAAGTTGTGGGGTTGGTGAGATGGCTCAGTGGTCTAAAGCACCTACTTAGAACAAGCTTAGCAAAGCACAGGGACTGCGGTTCAATCCCCCAGCACCACATGCCAGCCAGCCCCGCCCCCTGGTGGGCTGAGCTGGCCACACACACACACATACACACACACACACACACAAATAAATAAATAAAAATTAAAAAAAAAAATTAAAGAAATTTTAAAAAAAAGTTGTTTCAAGAGTGTTTTATTGGGGCTGGGGCGATGGCTCAGTGGACTAAGCACTTCTCTGGCAAGTGCAAGGGCCTAAGTTTTTTTTTTTTAATTTTTTAAATTTTTATTTATTTGTGTATGTATGTGTGTGTGTGTGTGTGTGTGTGTGTGTGGCCAGCTCAGCCCACCAGGGGGCGGGGCTGGCTGGCATGTGGTGCTGGGGGATTGAACCGCAGTCCCTGTGCTTTGCTAAGCTTGTTCCAAGTAGGTGCTTTAGACCACTGAGCCATCTCACCAGCCCCAGGGCCTAAGTTTAATTCCTGGTTCCACCAAAAAAAAGTGAGGGCCTGGGAGAGGGCTTAGTGGAATAAGCACTTCCCTGGCAAGCACAAGGGCCTGAGTTCAATCCCCAGTTCCAACCCCCAAAAAAAAGTGTTTTATTGAGCAAAGTTACAAGGTGAGGTGGCCTTAATGTGGAATAGAACTATAATAATGAGTACAATATAAGATTACAAGTATAGTTACTTACGTAATATTGATCCAATAGCAAATCATAGGATGGATGTGAGGAGGGACAAAACTATGGTTAACCAATAAGTATGCAGCAAGTAGTCGCTGAGGTAATATTGATTAAATAGGGAAACAAGTCACATAGCAAGTGCACATGGGGTGGACAAGGACTTTCCTGGAAGGGGTGGGCAAGGAGATTTAGTCCTCCACCCCAAGGTGATTAATGTCTACTTAGAGTATCAGGACAATTGCTATTTTAAGCCCAGCCTGAGTAGCATGTGGCTTTGAAATAGCCTGTATAGGGCCGGCCAAATAGCTGAGCGGATTACAGCGCCTGCAAGCAGGCCCAGGAGCCAGGGGTTTGATTTCCAGGCCTGCCTTGTGAGTCTGATCTAGTAGTGAGACCCTGAACACCCTGTAGACCCTTCCCTAAAATACAAAACAAAACAAAAAGAAAAAAAAAGAAATAGCCTGTATCCAAATGAAAAATAGGGGCCAGGGAAATAGCCCAGTAGAATAAGTGCTTGCCTGGCCAGTGCAGGGTCATGAGTTCGATCCCTGGTACCACCAAAAAAAAAAAAAAACCTCTCATCCCATAGAATCTAAGTTTCAAGACAGGGATCTCTCTCTCTCTCTCTCTCTCTCTCTCGCTCGCTCGCTCGCTCGCTCGCTCTCGCTCTCGCTCTCGCTCCCGCTCTCGCTCTCTTTCTCTGATGGTACTAGGAATGGAACTCAGGGCCTCATATATGTTAGCCAAGTGTTCTACCATTGACATAAGCCCCCAACCCAGAACAGGGATTTCTGCATATTGTTACTGCTACCTCCCAGGGACCTAAAACTTTGCCTGGCATACAGTAAGTGAACAATATTTCTTTTATTTGTGTGTGTGTGTGTGTGTGTGTGTGTG